GTGGCGGCAACTTAGCTTACCACCTTCAAAAGGTTTTCTTATATCCGCTTATTTAGGAATATCAGATTGTATTCCCTTGCACAATGAAATGGACGAGTCCATACAGTATGTATATGCACAAAACTGTGAATAAAGAAATACCATCCTTTTAGGATTTCATGTTCTTGAAATATAACAAGGAAGTAAAAAGCGACTTGAAACTGTAACTGCCGTGGACACAGAAAATGTAGGAATAACTGTTATGAAAGTCTATGCCAAAGCTAATCACAGGCTGCTACACGAACATCACTGAACGACAAATATGGAAACAGGTATTAGTTGAGAAAAACATTTTAATATTGGCCACCTAGAAGCACTCAAAGAATATTCACAGCTTCAGAATATTACTGCATGAAATATATACTCGAGCATCTAGCCAGATACCAAGTGCACTCACACTTTGAAACCATGTTAACCATGGTTATTAAAACAATAAACCCGAAATATAGCAAAATCCTCGAAATCAGGACAGCAGTAGTTGTTGATAATACAATGAAAACCGTTCACAATTGACTTTTAAAGCAGATAGCAAAGTGCTTGCAAACTAGGCGATCACACAAGTGCTGCATGCGAGTAAACTCCGCCACTAACGGTCAAAGATTACATTCACAATCAGTCATGTTACAAGTGTAGTGGACTAAACGACTAAGTTTGTTCATACGCACAATCAAAAAGGACAGGGAAAATACTAACATGTATGTATATATAATGTATTCATTCCACTTAAATTAATATGCACACAAAAAATGGAGTTATTTGAAAAACCATAATAGTCCCAAAATACTCAAAATATAGACGTACAAAATGACAGGGATCAAATTGTCCCTTTCTTGAGTATGCAGATCTTCAACTACACTTCAGAGATGCCAACTGTCGGAGAGCACTTGTTTAGAAAAAAAGTAGATTGGAGTGAAGTATCCTAATGTGGATGTGTCGATCAGTGCGAGGCAGAGTTGATTGGCAGATGTGATAAGCGAGAAGCTGTAGAGAGGGAAGCTTCGTCCGTGTTGTGCGTGGAACGAGGTTGTGTTCTTGTTCAATCTCACGTAAAACAACCACGATTTTATTTGAATTTCTTATTTTACTATTTTTCGGTGAAAGTATAACTTCCGGCCACCACACAGGACGGTGGGGCTTCCTCTAATTGTTCACCTGTCGTATCCTCTGGCAAAATATTTAATGGTGATTTGGGATAAACTTCAGGGTGTCGCATCATTTTTTCACCAACTGTCCCCCCTCAGATTACTTCAAAATTGTAATGAAACCATCAAATTAGGCTGAAATTATCCCGCATGTTCAAGGTCATTGATGAAGTGAGACGCTCAAAGGTCATTTTCGTCCATGTTAGTCGGTTATGTTGGATTGCAGTTCCGTAGCCGTTCGTTTACACATTAGTTTATACGTTCTGTTGGCATTTATAGGTGATTACCATGTACTGATAGCATTCTTTTGTAAAATAGTACTGTTCTTCACAGGAAAATAGCCACATTTTGACGCAGTCTTCATTGAATGACACGTTGTCGAAAGCTGCAGCTTCTACAAGAAATAAACTATTTATGTAGATGACATTACCCCCAACTACCCCATCTTCTTCATTCTAGAGATGTTTTGACGCATTCAGCATGAAACACTAATCATTACAACCAATATGCTAAGTGTGTCGCAGTCAGATTAAATGACGCGGACACCAACATAACTAGCCAGGAAATGAGAATTCCTATCAATCCAGAAAACATATAACACAATTTTATTGAAAATTATTGACAAAAAAAATTTACCGATCGAAATTTCAACCAACATGCCGGATAAGTCCAGCCATCAAATTACCCTAAAATTCTTCAGTTCTGTGGACCTTGGTCACCTATCCATACATGCCATGAGGCTGACTTGTTCTCAACGAAGGGAGAATTTATAGCATAATGAAGCCTCTTGATTCTTTTTAGTTTTCGCTCACAATCCAAATCTGTATGGCCTTACTATTACCCACCTAAAAGAGGATAATACGAATGTGTGGCGCCAGTTCGAACTGGGTACGCTTATCACCTGTTTACCACCTTTGAGTCTTGTGAGAGAATACTTGTTTTGCAATAGAATATACATCAATGCGTATTTCAGGCTTTCTCACACCACGAGTTCCCGAGTACTCGCCGGGAATGATCATTCCCTTCATTATTTCCGCACAACTAATGGCGTGATGTTCTCAGCGTAATTTTCATATTATGGAGAATTGTTGTAATTTTTGGGCATTATAAGTTTGATGAGTTGAAAAAAATCCGGGACAGGACGTGCGTTTTCTATTGCGAAATATATACGGAAACATCAGTATTACTACTTTTACTTTTGTTATTTTCAAAAGCCAATATATGCATGTATATATATATATATATCCAGTGTGGAGTTTAATGAAACGAGCTAAGTGCTAATAAAAGTGTATGGCTTAAAAATACAACTTGAATTTAAGTTAGTGTTTGTAGACACTTGACCCCAGATGTTTAATTCTTGGATAACACTTCTGTAAATTCCGTCATTTTAAACGATGACTGCTGATTTCTATTTCTTTTTCTAGTTAAACCACAATTTGCATATGCCCTAGCTGTTAGTGGGGCTTGATATTTTAAATGCTGCTGGATTAAAGTTCACCATTTCTTAAAATTTTTTTGTCAGCAGTTATATTTTACATTTGGATTGGCTCTACCAGATTTTCATGACTGATACATCTTAGTCTTCATTTTTGTAGGATTATATGTCACATGTTCTCTACAAGTAGCCTGTTAAGACCGACAAACAAATTCACAGAGAAGAGTTACAATTCGTCAGGTTTGCCTGTGCGCCGGAAGAATACAGACAGGATGCGGTTAAAGATGAGTTGTCTTGTCAGCTTAATAACCTCAAAAAAGCGCACTCCACAGATATTGCTAGCTGTGAATTAATGGGTTTTTTTAATTAAAAATCACATAGTCAGCGATGAGCCACATCTGTGTGAGGTTCGGCGATATTATCTGGTTACTCAGACCGACATGGGTGGAGTGGGGTTTGAATCTGCAACCAGATATTTGAAAGTCAGCATCTAGACCAGTTAATCATAACTTCACTGGGACTTGAATGCCTGTAAGCTCATAGAAAAGTTGTGTAGGAGGTCACGGGTCTAGATGTTTGTAGGTCAAATAACTGGGCCATCTCTAAAAATGATCAGCATAATGCATCTTGTTACCAGTTGCGTCAGAAATACCGGTTACTGCTTTTATATGTCGACTGTAGACTGCGCTTAAAATAAGTTTGAAATGAGTAATCTAAGCTTTGTTTATGTCATGAAGTTACCAATGACGCCATCCCTCCCTGTTCGCTAGGACACCAGTGGAGACCAACAGCCGTTGTATTGATTGGTGTCAAGGTTGCATCTTACTCATTAAACGGGATTATTCTTCGGAACTCACTTGCTGAGATGTGTCCCTATAAATTTTGTCGAAGTTCTGAAAGCCCTGTACACAAGCATCTCAGGGTGCGGAAAACAGCTTATCAGTCACAACCGTTTTTAAATAGTAGGTTTTTAATAAAGAGTTGAATCTCCTCATTTGTCTTTAGTTTTGTCATCGTTGACATTTTAAGGACAACTTTGAAGGATATGCGCGGTTTTAGTGTAGACCTGCTGCATGGAGAAAGATTATTCGTCTTTTAGCATGCAGACAAAATCTTACTGTACGACAACTAATAGACCACTCAAATCATACTTAGTGGTCAGTGTACGTATGGTACTTTGCTTTGTACTGTAGCAAAATTAGCAGCAGCCTGCATATGCACCCAGTGGCAGGTGAATCACTAAAAAAAGTTGAAAAATTCATCTATTTAAGCAGTTGTGTGAGTGCTGGATGAAAGCTTAAGCAGCATTTGTCAACCTGCCACACCTGTGATGGCGTCACAATGGTAGTGTGGCCACCATAGGATTTACAGTACTTCAGCTGCATGTATTCCTACTGTTAGCCTGTAAAACCTCATTCTTTGTTTATGATGTACTATGATACTAAGTATTCGACTATTGCTATCCGTTGTATTTCTTTCATCTGATGACTTCGCTTTCTGAGTAATTCTGAGATCCAAGGGCTCGTATTTGGATGTTGTTTTTCAGTTACTTGATATCATTTTGGGACATTACTTTCGGTGGCTTGGACTTGTGCTTCGAGTGTCATTCAAGAGGCTTCCATAGTTTTTACTGTTTTCTAATAATAATAATTTGCTTTATTCCAAAACAGTACTTGTGATACAGAATGGAATTCTCAGCATTTTTTACTACAGTATTGCATCCAGTTAGTACATTATCAATAAGTAGAATTCTACATAGATAAAGGAAATCTAGGCCTTAGTATGATTGGAAAAGTGTAAAGACAATCAAACCATTACTTGGAACCTTGAGATGAAGGATAGTTGTGTTTATTTAATGTCTATTGACGCAGCAGTACTTTCTTAGTGAAGTCTGAGGAATCATGCAGCTTGGTGGCTCGAGAAGCTATTGGATTTTACTTAGAATTTAAATTTTTGGTGAGCATAATGCGATTTCCTCCAGTCTTTTCTTCTGAAGGTAATACAAAGAAAAAGATGCTCTTGATAAGCACGCTCAACTGTTTTCATTCTGCTCCTCATATATGTTGCTTTTGTTTTCCTATTAACTTTATCATTTTGTGTCTCGCATTCCTAAGTGCCCATATTGGACTTAATTTGTGGTTTCAATCAAATAAATTCTGTTTGAAACCATGTGCAGTCTGGTAGTATATACCTCTGTGAGAATCGAGTCGCTCCCTGAAGGTTCTGAATAAGGAATTGACTTTCATCTCCCCGATAAAAGGTCTCAGTCTTTGTCTACTCTGTGGTGGAACTTAAACTCTACCCTTATTTTATTCGATAGCGGTTGTGGTCCTTCTTAGATAAGTTGTCCTGAAAGGAATAATAAAGATTTAACCGATCAACAACACGTCGTTATTCAAGATACAATAAACCTATTAATAAAGACCACTTCTCTTCCAAGGGTATGCAAAGGAGATATTTCTACTTCTCTTTTTCACAGGGAAGGTGTATTGGTCGCGTTACTAGCTTCCCAATCTTTGTTGTCATTGTAGTATATCTGCCTCCTTCAGACAAAGATTAGCCATCTGTGACTAGGTCTTACCTAGGTAACGTTTGGTATTCTGTGCTTATCTTCACTAAAACAGGTTATTTTAACCGTTTCTTTAGAGTAGCAAATATGCTGATATTTTTTATTTATTCGCGTGAAGACCTTCAATTTATGCGAAAAGGTATACCAACATTTACTGGCTTTTACACTACATTTTACTGTAAAAGAAACCAAAATGTTTATAAAATTTCCCTCACACCATGGCGCTCTAAGGGATGAATCAAAAATGTAAGCAGTGTTGTAGTTGCAAACATTTAATCAGTAATGTCCTCAATGGTTTTATGCAATGTGGCTTGTTGGCTAAAGCGCTAGATTTCACGCTTGTGAGTCTGAACCCGGCTTAACCTACTTCAGCCCGAGCAGCTGTATAGTACCACCTGACCCGCCAAGTCAGGTAAGAGAACAGTTACTCGCCTATGACACTGGCTGGCGGTTGCGATGTAAGTCGCCATTGGCTCGGGGCCCAGTAGCTGAATGGTCTACGGGCTCACTTTGTAACTGGAAGGTCTTGAGTTAAATCCCACTCGTGTGTGTGTGTGTACTTCTGGAGTCCCAAACTAGGATGAAACAGCTGTGCAGTACATCCTGGTTTTCCAGTTGTTTCTTAACTGATGTCAGCTAGTGTTCAAACCTGAAGTCAGTGTATCAGCTTGTGGTTGAAATACTTCATGACTACGTTCGGTTTTTCTTGCTGGTTGCAATAAAAGCTTAAGAGACTTCAAAGTGATTGGTGGCAATTTATTAAGCTTAAAATAGTTTATTTTGACCATATCATAAGCCGTAAGATAACTAAGTATGACTGGTGTCAGTACTGAATTGCTAGGGTGAACTGTATCTTATTTAGTCAAGCCGTGTTACTTAGGTTTGTGTACTTGGTTGTGAAACATTTGTTTACCACAATAGTGATATCACCTTAATATTTAAAATAAAGATAATTTAAGTAGAGTTGGTTTCATTTGTCTTATAATATAATACTTAACATTTAAGTTACTGGACTAAAGCAACACCTCCACACCATAGCATGCGAAGTCTTAAGAAACATTTTAACTTAGGACATTAAAACAGTATCAGTTAGTTTTTAAAAGTTAATATAATAATTACCCATTTTCATGTTTATTTTTTTATTAGAAATCCAAATGTTACGAACGTCACTTCATCTGCAACTGTCGAAATGGAAACTCTTCCATCGGTTGGTCCATTCCGAAGCTGTGACTTATGCTGAACATGGTGAACCCGACCAAGTTCTGCGTTTCTCATCAACTCCACTGAAACCTTTTGCAAATGACGAAATTTTGGTGAAAGTATGTGCAGCTCCAATTAATCCATCGGATATAAATACCATACAAGGTACTTATCCAATAAAACCAAAATTACCCGCTGTTGCTGGAAATGAGGGGGTGGGCAAAGTAAGTGGTATGATCACGTTTGTAATTTATGTAAGATACAATATATTACTCCAGTGTGCGAACGTTCAAGTGGTGAATTTATAATATTTATTGTATTTTACACATTTTATTACACATAAAGTTGCTACAAGTAACTTTTAGTATGGATGTGTAACACATTCAATAACATTCAGCATCTTTACTATTATCTGTTCATTATTCGAACGCAAAGTCACACTCTTCAAAGTCAAATATGGATCAGTACAGCTAATAGACAAAGTCTTTGAGAAGCGGTCGTCTCAAATACGTCTGTGGCTATTTTTCTCTTTATCACTTCTTTTTTATTTCCTATCCTCAATATTCACTTAATTGTCGGGGTGAAATAATACTACTTAAGAAGTAATGGAACAACGCTGAGTTCTAGATTGTTCTTGTATATGTCTCTCCAAGGGATAAGATATATCCGATCTGACGAAAATCTGTATCATTGTCACTACCACCTATACATTCATGATGCTTTTTTCAAACTATACTACTTTTCGCCATTATCAAACCCAATACTCTTCATAATTCAGTCATATTTTTATGGAAACTAATATAATAGTTAGTTTTTAATTCACACTGTTGAGTAAGGCGTCAGTTAATATATAGCACGATGACTGACTTTTACGAAGATACTGAAAATTTTTGCCCATACATTTATTTTAACAATCACCAAAAATTGAAATCCTGTACTATCATAGATTAATGTCTCTGAAGCTAGATGGTAATGTTTCTTGGGTACTTGTTGCTGATGATTACTAAAGAATATTAAAGCGTGAGTAATTGTTTGTGACCTCACAGTGAACATTAGTGTTGATGTGTTACTGTATTAAATGACCGCAATATATATTTACTTTACATAATTCTGTCACCAGGCAGAAATAAACATAAAATTGACTACTTTTTGATGGCTGACCAGTATACTAGTCTGTTTTATGTTATAGATTTCATTCCAGAGATAATTATCAAAAAATCATGAATGTTGTTCCCTGATATACAAAAACATTTTGTTGAAACTCTCTGGCGAGATCATTCGCATATGTAATTTCTCTAAAGGTTATTCTCATACTTGTCTACTTATTTTATAACTTATCGGAAATAGCTTATGCTTCTCATTTCTCTTGCCTCAGATTATTGCATGTGGGAAAAATGTGAACAATTTTTCTGTGGGTGATTCAGTTATTCCTTTGGAATTCGCATCAGGCACTTGGCAGACATATTGGTGTGGTAAAGCTGATCGATTTCTTAAAATAAAACATCCTATCCCTTCGACGCATGCTGCTGTGATAGCAATCAATCCAAGCACTGCTTTACACTTGCTCAAAAGTTTTGCGGAACTCCAAAAGGGGGATACTATAATCCAAAATGGTGCAACAAGTGCAGTTGGAGTATACGTTATTCAAATAGCAAAAATACTAGGAATTAATACAGGTAAGAGTACTTTTACAATTTAGCATATTTATACTTCTAGTGAACTTGTTTCGCGAAAGAGAAACAACTAAAGCCACTGAAGAAACCCGTGATCTTCTCAAATGTTATGGAGGTACATTGTGTCTCACAGAAGCTGAATATATGGAAAAGGCAAAAGAAATGGGTCCTTTTAAACTTGCTTTAAACTGTTTAGGAGGAAAGCCTGCATCCCTTCTGGTAAAAAGTCTAGATCATTGTGGAACAATGGTTACATACGGTGGGATGACACGTAATCCAATGCCATTACCTGTTGGTCCTTTTATTTTCAAAGACATTCATTTACGCGGTTTTTGGCTGACGAATTTTAACCGACATCAATCTGCGGCACAACGACAGCTTACTATTGATCAACTATCGAAATGGTTCTCAGACAAACTTATCATACCTTCACCGTTCGAAGAAATCCCTTTCCAAGATTGGCGTAAAGCATTGAATATGTCACTTTTTAGTGACTCAACACCTGCAAGTATCAGGAGAAAACCTATTTTAATTATGGAATGACACTGTATTGTTGTATAGATTTTCCTAGTCATAATAATAATTATCTGTAAACTTGCAATCACCTGTGTGTAGATTTTATTCACACTGATAGGTAAATTTTACTCTGGGAATTTAATTTATTATTTTATTTTTTACTTGGAATTGATTTCAGTGTGACTTATCACGGTGTCTCTTTTTCATTTCAACCTTTGTACAATTTCCAGTATAATGTATGATATACAAACGATGAGTACATTTATTTCGTCATAGTAACAACTTGTTAAAAAAGAAGCATTTCTAATATTTAAGAAGAAATACTATAGGTGTTAGTATCAATTAATATTGTAAATAAAATCACAGTATTTCTAGTGCTCAACTTATGGTAATGAGAATTATGCAGTGGTTGTGACTGTCATTCACTCTTCAGGTTAGCTTACGTAACACAGGGATATATTGTAGTTTCTAAATAATAAAGATTCCCAAAGTAACATTTAAATCAGTACATGTAAGTGAACAAAATTTGCTTGTAATTAGATCTCACCACGCGTTACCCCAATACGCATCGGTCGGTCGGTCGGTTTTCGACATAGAACTTTGCACATATGTGCGGCAGTTCAAGTCGCCACAATCTATGTAGCACGCAAAGCAAGAGAAGGAAGTAGAAGAAATGCATAATACAGACAGTAAACAGAGGTGTGAGACAAAGGAATAGTAATAACGGAGAACAAAACAGTTTCATTGGAAATGATAAGTCACAAGGAGTGGATGCATCTGCGCCACTGAGAACGATTTTGAGCCATGTCACCAATTGTTTCCAACCATTGATTTTTACCGTCCCGAGGGCCCCAACCAGGAAGTCTACATCTTCCTACGTGGCTTAGATTAACTGTTGTGGATTTCATTGACTGGTGCCATGTTTTGGTTTGACCGCCACTAGCTCTTTTCCAGCCTGACCCTATATCAGCTAACATTGCCCGTCGAGGAAGGCGATGACTAGGCATACGTAGCACATGTCCCAACCATCTCAGTCGAAGTAATTTCACAGTCTCGTCGATTGATTTCCCCGCCTTACCTAGCACTCGACGCCTAACCTCAATATTGCTCACCTTATTATACCACTTCACGTGGGAGATAGAACGCAGACACCTATGATCGAAGACAGCTAATCTTTTCATGTCTTCTGCTCTCAATGGCCAGGACTCACAGCCATAAAGGAGGACGGAGCGGACTGTTGAGCAGTACACACGCCCTTTGGTTGATAGTCGGATATCGCGTCTACGCCAGAGACGGCGAAAACTGGCGAATGTGAACCTAGCCCTCTGTATTCGTGCTGAAATTTCGTCGGAGATCAACCCGTTGGGGCTGATGGTACTTCCCAAGTAAGTGAAGCGGTCAACGTGTTCTACCACTTCACTTCCTATTTCTAATCTAGGGGTCGATGAAGTCCAATCCTGCAGCATCATCTTACATTTTATAGGGGCGAATCGCATGCCAAACATGCGGAGATTGTTGCTCAGGGTGTTCAGTAGACTCTGCATTTTGTCAGAGTCCTCGCCTAGAAGGGCTATATCGTCCGCATATTCTAAGTCAACGAGATTCTTCCCTGGTAGCAAGTCAATCCCTGAGTCGCTGAAGTGAGTTAGGGTTAAGTCCATTAGTACATCTATGATGAAATTGAATAGGAATGGGGATAATGGGCATCCTTGACGGACGCCACTAGTCGTCACCACTTCAGATGATACGCATAACTTTACTGAATATCCTTTAAAACACTTAGTCATTTAGAAGGCAAATTTCGCGAGACCAAACCACTTCGTAGTTTTTTTTACAACAGCTTTACAACTAGCATGCTTCACAATAATGGATGATGATGGATTTCTATTCAGATTAATTGCACTGGGATTTTCTGTGTATTCTACACTGCATCTCTTTCCCTCACATCTCGAACATTTTCGATCCCTATACCTATGATTAAAGGATGAAATTCTGTGGACTCTACTTCAGACTGTATCTTCAAGTTCAACTGCAGCTGTGGTAACACCTATATGGCTAGAACCCATAGTGTAACGACGGAAGGCAAGAGTCAGGCAACAGATCGTTTATTAAGGAAATCAACGCATATTTATGTGTGTTTTCATGTACATTACTATGGATATGTAAACAAACAAACACAGTCTTCCGATTGGTTGTTTCTCACGACAAATCTTGGGAACGTAAATATTGACGTAAATTACTGTCTACCAATTTGGCTAGTAGACAGCTCTCACCACAATAGGATGTTTCAATGTCGTCGAAAAGAACATGTTCCAAAATGGTTGTTAAAACACAGAAAATCCCAATGCAATTAATCTGAATAGAAATCCACCATCATCCATTGCAAAGCACTTATTAATATCAGGTCACAAAATCAATATGAATGACTGCTTCACAATTATTTCACCACATAACTCTAATTCAAGGTTGGTTACTGAAGGTGATGGAAGCATTTTGGATTAATCACACACATCCTAAACTATGTGTACCAAAAACAATAGACTTCAACCTTCACCTACCATGGACCTATTTAAATATGATTGGTCATTAGTATGTACTTTTGTTTTATATAACTGAGTAATTGTCATGCATTTTATTTCATTACTGTGGACCATCTTAGCTGTAAAGCGGTTGTAAAGAAACTACGAAATGATATTGTAATTGTAACAACAGAAGACAAGGCTGGCAACAGATCAGTTTTATTACGAAAACCAACAGGTATTTATATGTATTTTACGTACATTAATAAGGCTCTGCCCGCAGAAAGAAGGCGGTCTTCTGATTGGTTGTTTGCAAACAAACGCAGTCTTCTGCTTTCTCGTTTTCGATATTTCTCGGAAATGCGAGCCACTTGTCTGCGAATCATATTTGTCCACGTCTAGGTCAGCTGTGATCGGTTGTTGAATCAGCCTAGATTAATTTCCACCAATCAGCGTAGATCAATGTCTACCAATTGGCTAGCAGCTTGCTCTCACCACATAATGACAAAAGACAAAAGCCAGGCAACAAATTGTTTACTGAGAAAATCAAGAGGTATTTATAGATTTTAATGTACGTTATTGTCAGCGGAGAAGCAACCTCTTCTGACCGGTTGTTTCCTTGCTGAAGGTTATTCTGTTATCTCTTTGTAACCGTTTCTCAGAAAATCAAGCCATATATCTGCGAATCATATGTCCACACTTTAACTCCGCTGTGATTGGCTGGTGATTTTCTCAAGGTTAAGCTTTGTTATTGTTTTCCTCATGACCCTGATTCGGGACGTAACATTGACGTAAACTGTTGTCTACAATTTTGGCTGGCAGCCAGCTCTCACCACAATATTATCTTGTGAAATTTACCTTCTAAATGCCCAATTCAAATTGATTATTCTTTGTTCAGTAATCAGTTTTTTGAAATTTCTAATGTGCATTTCTGGTCAATTGAAATATTAAACATTAATCAATCACGGTGATTTGTCAATAGGATGATAAGATTGTGCATATCAATTACGACACTAGTTATAATAAGGATAATTCTATTGATGACAAAGATGAAAAAGTGGAGCGGTTTGTGATAACAAGGATAATGAAGATCTACGTGCTTAAACAACAGATGTTTAGGTCGATGTAGCCGTCAAAGGCTCAGAAGAACAAACAGTCAGATCAAGTAGTGCCAGATTCTATGGGAAGTAAATTATTTTTAACAGATGTCCAATGGGATTATAAGGGATATATATTTATTATTTTTATTGTTCCTTTAGGTCCCGAGTGGAGCACACGGCTTCAGCAGCACCTACCTACTTTGTCCTATTCTTTGCGGTCATCTTAAGCTGGCCCCGTGATTAATGTAGTCTCCCACTTCCTCCATGTCACCCTCGGACGCCCAACTCGTTTCCCATTCGGGTTCCACTTGAGGGTCTGTCACAGTGTCACTCGACGGTCTCCTCAACGTGTGTCTGATCCACCTCCCTCTTCCTTGGAATATTTGTTGAGCGATGGTTTCTTGATTGGTTCGATCTCAGAGTTTCTTGTTACTAATTCTTTATGGCCGTTTGATCGTCTGTATGGAGCTAGTGAAGGAGGCTGTTGGTAAAAGTCGGCAGCAGCTTGTTGGAAATGCTTTCCATAACGCCTGAAGTTTCTGTCCCATATAGACGAACTGACTTAATAGTAGTATTGAAAATCCGAACTTTGTTGTTTATGCTGAGTGCAGCAGATTGCCAAACTGATTTCAGATTGATGAAGATTTGTCTATCATTTCCGATTCTGTCTTTGACGTCCTCATCCGTTCCACCTGTGGTTGAGACGATGCTTCCTAGATAAGTGGAAGATGTGACTTCCTTCAAATTTCTTCCGTCGATAGTGCTTGTTGTTGGTTGGTTATTTTCATCACCTCCGTCTTCTCCATGTTCACTTAAAGTCCTGTCTTCGCTGCTTCCTCTGACAAGTTGTTGGTCTTCGAGTTTGTATGACAAGACGTAAGTCGTCCGCGAAGTACATATGTAGAGTACTATCGATTCAACATATTCCTGTTTTCTCGCTCACAATCTTCCGCGTAATTCAGTCCACTATAGTTAGGAATATCATAGGTGATAACAGACAGCCTTGTCTTACTCCTGTATTCACTTTGAGCGCCTCGCTGAGTTTCCGTTGTGGATCACCTGACACGTGGCATTGTCATATAAACATCACCTTTAGAGAGTTAGTTCCAATGTTCTTCCACACAGGTTTCCTGATTGACACCACGTAGTGTCTCCGACTTTGCTCTGATGGCTGCAGTGAAGGTATCTTTTATAGTTTGGTCTTTCAGTTTCTGAGTGTTGAACTTGAATAGTTGTCTGTTTCCATTTGTTCTGAGGTCTTTCAGCTTGATCTTACGGGTTCCTTGGTCCAGATAACAGTCTGAGCCCACATCTGCTCCCCTTCCCGATTTCATGTCCAGGAGACTGTGTCTCATTTTTCTCGTGATTGAGATGAAGTCTGTCTGGCTTTTGGTGTGTCCGTTGGGTGAACTCCATGTCGCCTTGTGTATGTCCTTATGATTGTACATGCTGTCTCCGATCAACAAATCATTGAGGGAGCAGAAGTCTGCAAAGAGTTCTCCGTTCTCATTCATTTCATCAAAAGCCTCTCGACGTATGATGAATTCTCTCGCTATATTGTCTGCACTCTTAGTTCGGCTGGTATACATATTGAGAATGAGGATTTCGATGTCGCCATTAGGGGTGTTATGCACTACTGTGTGTAGTTGTCTATGGAAATCTTCCATCTCGAATACGAGTTGTTTCTAGGTGCATAGCTTTGGGTGATTGTT